TAGGTGTCCTGCATGGCTTATGGTCCTGTAACTACTGAGAGCCGAGTGATCTTTTCCTGGTATGATGATTGATATCAACGAGCTGTGCAACTATTCTTCAGGGATTTTACAAGTGCCAGTGCTCACGATGAAGTCTTTTGTCATTTTTCCAATCATCTCATCGTCTGCTTCTTTCATGAGGCAATATCTTACACCATCCGGCCCTCCTGCACTGTCTTTGGCATATTTTATTGTTCTGGAAACCTCTTCTTTTGATATTGCATCCTCGTAGTTTGCATACATGTCTGGTGTCAGCACACTGGGAATATCTCTTTCAACTTCCTTTCTTGAGTCAATATTTCCCTGGTGTGTTTGATGGATGAATCTGTCCAAGAAAGCCGTTCCTTTCTCCTCTTCAGTTTGGAGTGTCTTTCCCGACTCGCCCTTCACATCCACGGTAGTTTTTTTAGCGACCCTGTCCACACATCTTCTTTCACAGTTTCCAGAACGTTGAGAGTGCCTTCTCAGCTGCAATGTTTTTTACAAACTCTTTCCACTTTGCCATTTTGGCCAGATCTGCTTCAGCTTTGAACTTATCTCGAGCCTGCCTCATTTTCTCTTTAGCTGCCTCCCTTTCTTCCTCTGTGACATTGGGATTTTTCTTCTTTCTTTTCCAGTCCTTAACAGCATTCCTCTTCTCTTTCCACAGGCAATCGATTTCATTGCTCCACCATGGTGGCTGCGTAACTTTAGGTCTTGAGGGTTTTCTGTTCCTGGCCTTCTTTCTCAGGCCTCCCGAGACCATGGTGTGTGGTTTGTATTCAAACACCATCTTGACCTTTTGTCTCACTGTCTTTCCACCCTTTGATATAAGAACTGAGCATGGCAGGTGGTCGTTACCATGATCTGCCAGTACACTCAATTGTGTAAAAGCTTCGCCACCTGTTTTGATCAAGGCCAAATCAATATTGGAGTCCTGTTCACCAGTTCTCCGAGATAGTCTTGTCATGGGGGAAATGTTGAGGCTGAGGAGATCACTTTCAATCAACTTGCTGTCTAAAGCCTTTCCCTGACCATTTTCGTTGACATTGCCCCAGGCCGAGCTTTTGGCTTTGGTGAAGTCCTCAACGGTCAGGACAACATCTCCAAGATTGCATAGCTCATGGAGAAACTCCCAGTCATCTTCCTTGACAAGTTTTCCCACCTCCAGCGTAGAGGTT